GCCAGGCCTGGGTCCATGCACAAAGTTGTACCAGTTTAGTGAAAGATGTGATTTCATACTGATTTAGTTAAACCAAAACAACTTTGTGCACAGCACTTTTATCGCCATGCAAACCTGATTTATATCAATTTAGGTCAGACTGGCACATTTACAGGTGCAATCTAAATGGATACAAGCAATTTCAAACCAATATGAGTCTACATATAAAAGTTGCACCAGTTTAAACAAAATGATTTAAGTTAAATCAGGACAATGTTCATGTTTCAGAGAAGACCTACATTATTGTAAGAAAGCAGTATGTGGAGGATACTGACTAGATGGCTTTTGGAAAGGCTACCATCGTAGACTAGGAATTTGGTGATATGAAGTTCAGAGTACCTCCTTGCAAATGGCTGTTCTTCCGCTGCATTTTGGCTGCTGATAGGTTTTTGGAAGAGCCCGGTAACTAGATCCTATGCGTTTGCAGGAAGCATAATCGATTTCCCGACTCATTCCATCCCCAGATCGATCACTCAATGGAGAAGCAAATGAAAGCTCTTTCACTCCAAGGAAGGATTTGAACTGTGCAAAGAGTTCTGGGAATTTCCTTAAAATATGAACAGATACACATGCCATATTATCACATTCTGTCTGTTTAATGTCCATAAAGTACTTTCTTTCTTCACCATCTCTTATATTTCATATAGATTGTGGTAAAAACTACATTGAAAGCTAGTACTTTCCTCACATAGAATTAAGAATTCCCTCCACCATAATGTTATCTGCTTTAATCAGTCACTTTAATCAGGCTCTTTATCAACCATCCTCTTGGTTGAGGGCTACAGAATAGGGGTGTAAATTCCATTTAATCAGTTAAACATTAACTTTAACTGGTTAATCGATTAAATGGGATGCTGGGCAAACCCAGCCTGCAGGACTGCCAGCCAGCCCCACACAGCGGGGGGACTGCTGGCCTCCTCCCAGACCCATGTGATGCTTACCAGGTAACTGGTTAACCATTCATATCCCTAGAGAGGACTCCCCTCAGAATCTCATCTGTTCCACTCCTTAATCTCTTAGAGTCTTTGTTCATTGCCATAAGACACTCTCCCATCTCATGGAGGACTAACAGCTCAGTGGTCCTCCACCAGATACTACTGTACTACTGTTAGTTGCCTTTTTATAGCACTGTTCTAAGATTTTATGGAGTAAAAGTTGTCAGATTTTATTTCTCCTCTATTTGAATGATTCCTAAAATTTTGGCATTGCTGACCCAGAAGAAACCATTAACTTCATAAGGTTTTAATGTTGCAGTTTCAGACTGGAAACACAAGAGAAAAAGTGACATAGGAAATGTTTAAAAGCTACACCATCCATGTCACTGAAAAACAAGGTCACTTACCCTAAAAACGGGGTGACTAGCTGGAGAAGCTCTGAGCCTGACACTAGCTCCTGATTGAAGAGTGCGATACAGCGCAGGAAGTTCTCATACACTTCCTGACTCTTCAGTACCCTGGCTGTCATATTGTCTGTATACTAGCTTTATTTTTATGAGGGTATCATGCAAGGTCTAAGTCGTTTTGCACAGAGCCAATAAACGTATACACTCATAAGAACCCCAGAAGCAAAGTTCACACAAAAGTACCTCCCTTAACTGGGACTCCTTGGTTGGGCAACATTTGTGGTCCAGCACAGACCATGGATGTTCCTGTACTATAGATCCCAGGAACAGGGAGATCTGGTGGCGGGGCAGGGGCACTGTAGAGGGCACCAGCAACTTAGTCAGGAACCCAGTGTCGGGGGAGAGGGGAACGGGTGGCACAGCAGGGAGTTCTGGACCCAGCAGTGCCTGTGAAGTTTCAGCGCCAGTACCAGTCTGGTTCCAGCGGCCAGAAAACTCCAGCTCCAACCCCAGTGACATCCAGGGAGCTCTGTCCCCAGACCTCACTGTGCAGCTCTGGCCCCAGCCAAGGAGCCAGGCAGCTGTAGAGCTCTGCCCTGTCTGTGAAGCTCTGGCCATGGCAAGTGGGGCCAGTGGCCTGGTCTCTGGCCATGGCAAGTGGGGCTGGCGACATCTACAGAGCTCTGGGTGGCTAGCGCAGCAGTGGGAACAGGCTGGTGCCCTAACCAAATGGCAGCACGGGACCATGAGGGGAGGGACCTCCCCTGGTCTGGCAAATCCCCTTGTTCGGGACCAGTCAGGTCCCAAAGGTGGCGGACCAGTGAGGTCCAACCTGTAACAGGATTTATACTACTAGGGTCACAATTGTTGAGAAGGAGAGAAGTCAAATGTTTGAAAATCATAGAATCCTAAAACTGGAAGGAACCTTGAGAGATAATCAAGTCCAGCCCCCTGCACTCATGGCAGGACCAAGTAACATCTAGACCATCCTTAACAGGGAAAACACACACAAGAAGATACTAGTATGTGTTCAGGGTCTTCTATCTCTTCTCTATTCGTTAGTTTTCTTTCCCCACATCCTCAATAAGTAGGAAACTTTTAATTAATGAACTCTAAAATAAAAACTGTCATAGAACACCAGTTAATTGCTACCTATTGGACAGAAAGCAAGAAGACCATGCAACAGGAGGAAACCAGATCACTAACCTTATCGAAGAAAGAAAACTCCTGTAATGTTCCATATTTTCCCACCGTGGCAACTGACAGATCTTTGGTACCTCGCAGTTTCATTTTCTTCTGTTGAAAAGGTTAAATAATTTTACTTGAGTGATTCTGATTCAAATACCAGCAATTTCCATTTTACTGAACAGTAACTACCGTTGCTCTGAGCCTTTATTCCCAAAAATCACAAACTAGCTTTGCCACATCACATCCTTCATGAAGGTCTATATCAACCACCACAAGCAAAACCATAACAGGTATGCAGGACAGGTAAAGATTGGGTATAAGCCTGCAGGAAATACCAATTTATTCAAGAGGAGAGACCCAAGTCAGTCCATCAAGTCCTAATTTGCCTAATACTTAGCATTTATACAGAACTTCATGTTTATCAAGGGATAATGCACTTGTCCAAACACCGGTCCCCTTGTTAAATGTCTTCAACACTGTGGCAGGGTGCTGGTGAAAGAGCACTTAATTAGTCCTCTCTTCCTCAGTTTCAGTCAAGAGGAACAGATGGGCGATGGTGCTAAACCTGATGCCTGTGAGATTGTGGTTTGTATCTAGACACTGGTGGTGGGGAAACTACAAAAGAATGAAGGACAGGTGTTGACTAGGCTGAAGCCTTCCAAGCCTTATTTAGGAGGGCAAGCCCCAGGAAGGGGTTGTGCACCCTATTATAAACACCATTCAGAGGCCAGTGTCCCTCTGACTTGTCAACTGCATCCTAATTGGGTTTTACAAGAGTGCACATGGGCCATATTGAGGGGGAGGATGCTGGAGGACAGACAGAAGGCTTCTGAGAGCTGCCTGGCAGTCAGACTTGAAGTGGTGTCAGGGCAAACGTACAAAAAGCAGGAAGCTCTCTGCAGCCTCTACCTAATAAGAGTGTGAAAGGATCAGAAAGCTAATGGAGGAATGAGTCTGGTGATGTTCCTGCACCAGAGAGCGATGGGCACAGAAGTCTGGAGAGGTCTGAAGACTGAATGCAG